CTGATGACGGAGGCAGTATGACCTCTGAAACGTTGGTTAACATCGACCAGACTACACAGCGCAATAACCCAGAAGACGGATATCTTCAAACCAGGCATTGTTTAATCTGTAGCCATCTTCATTCTTAGTCATAAGAACGTCTGATTTCAACAGCTTCCTGAATACGCAGGGATGGTAGCTGCAAATGTTGGCTATGACAATGAACTCCAACCATGAAAATTGAAGAACAAGTAGCATCAAATGCCTATGGATTCATTGCTTCACAATTAATTCTGACTCAGAGCAGATGAGAGGGTCTAATCTGTGATGGCTGAAGAACAGGGCCAACTGGAAAAAAAATATGATTAATATAAAAAGTAATTTATAAATAGCTGCATGGCAATAACCACGTGGCTCACGTACTTACCGACTGGTTATGAAAGCAATGGCATCAGAAGGACTGTTCACATTTATAATGGGCAATATTGGTCCAAACACTTCCTCCTGCATGACAGGATCAGATGCTTTGACATCAATTAAAATAGTTGGGCTAATGAATCTCTCTGATGCATCAGTTTCACCACCAACTGCTATTCTTCCATTGTTCAAGAAAGACGTAAGTCGCCTGGTGGATGTACAAGAAATACAAAGTGATTTATAAATCCTCAACCTGTCAGTTATACAATTGTTTTGTGAATTTATTTTAACCTCGCCAATATTTGCCACAACACTGTATTATGAAGTATTCAAAAAAGATAATGAAAACGACTTGTTTAGTCATTGGTCCGTGTCAACGACAGGCACTGTCCTACAAATGAGCTGTGAAACACCTATTGTCAATTTCTCCAAAACTACACAACCTGGAAATAATTATTTGTAAGCATTCAAACTGCTGTATCTGTTGCCTACAAATAATTTTCAGTCCTAAGCAGACTATTTTTCACTTCAAAGATATGACTACTGCCCACTGACTGAATAACGGTTATTGCAAGGTGGTAGTTACCTTGGAGAACCACTGTGTACTGTGAGACTGAACTATAAACTCAGCTACATGGATGTATGTAAAAGCCAAATCTGCAATTGTACATGTTCAAGTGTGACTTAGAATCAGCAAATTACTTCTATGCAGCCAAAATCCTTACAACAGAGGCAGAATCTACTGTGTTCTGTAACACCATCAATGATTCTGTCATGTAAATGTGACTTCTGCGCATATAGAACTTACTCTAAAGTGTCTTTTGTTGAAAGAAATCTAACATTTTAGGGTTATACTAATAGCATAAATTCCTTTACAAGCATCAGTTAACCTCATATTATTAATTTTAAACTGATCACGATGTCATAAGCTACGGAAAAGAAATTTTAGATGGCCATCAGTTTCGTTTATCAATTATGGTTCTATTAACTTGTCCATATTTATGCAAATGTTAACTCATGTTTCTTTTTTACAAATCACAACCCCCAAAACTAAGTTCTTGCTTATAATGGAGATATTATTAATATTATTATGGCTTCAGACTAATATGGTAGACTGCATGAGATCAACAGGCAATGTGAGACAGTGCAGTGCAGTGTGACCCCCAAAGATAACTACAATCAATGTATTTTGAACTCAAACATTTTAAATTTCAGTGGTACTTGAGGGGACATTAAAATTAAAAGCTTACGAATAAAATTTTTCTTCTCCTTACAATTTTAGTGTGGTTTATAAACGCATACAACTTATACTCACATAAATACATTATTTCAAAATACATCAGGTGAAATGTCTACTTACTTGTAATGCTTATTGGAAACAATGCGACAAAAGTCTGGGGAGCTCTTCACATTACTGCCATACCATTCTTTTAGAATATCTTTGGCCTTCGCAACAAAGCTCGACTGGACTGCTTTAGAGCAGAGGATATAATCCGGTGCAATACAAGTTTGTCCAGCATTGATACATTTCCCCCAAAGAATTCGCTTTACTGTTATGTCCATATCTACAGAGTTATCAATGTACACTGGGCTGAAACAAACATAAATCATTGTCAATGTAAGCACACATGAATAGCGTGACTTAGTCAAATGCCACTGAAATTCTTTGCCCTTACTGCATGCAAGTAAACCCATTCCCTCTTCATTCACTCAACCTACAAGTTACAAACATACCTCTTGCCTCCAAGCTCAAGTGTAACAGGAGTGAGGTGCTGATTGGCCGCAGTCCTCACAATTTTACCAACACTTGTAGATCCTGTATAGAATATGTAATCAAATCGCTCCTTAAGTAACTCTGTAGTTTCTGGAACACCTCCCAACACTACATGGAAGCAATCCTATCAAATAAGTAGGATTTATTCATTAACAGTTACAAAAACACAAATGTTAGTTTACATCAAAGCGTGGAGTAGACTTTTGGATAGGTGATCTTGTAGCCTAAGTGGGTGCTGTGCTTTCTTGTACTAAATACACTTTCCTGGATAATTTTGGACCCTGAAGATGGTTTCACATAAATAAATAAACTTCTTGCAAGTATAATTTTATCTTCCAATATTGTATTTTATTCAAAACAAAATGTTTTCTCTTGTTAAACAATAAAATAAACAACTTACGTTCCCTGTCATAGCTGACGACACTGTGTAACAAAGATCTACTACTGATTTCAGGATAGGGACAATTAAAATATAAAAATTGCTGTCTTCAGACTCACCGCTGTGAAAACCACAAATCCTACATTAAAACATACTTTCCTATTTATTCCCATTACCATCCTTTCAAATACATTGTCTTTTCCATCATTTTAACAACACCCTGGAAGGGTGCTGAACAGAGATTAATTTTGAATTGCATTCTAATTGGATCCACCAATCACAACACTACCTCATGGCCTGGTGATATGAATATGAGTATTATATCTGTTAGTTACTTTACCCTGAAAATGTATCCTGCCAATTTCTCCAAAATATTGGTAAAATGTAAATAACAGTCATAAGAAACCACTCTGAAAACCAAGAGACTTTGATACATCATCACTTCAGTCTGAAGTTTTTAGATTCTTACCTACATTTGTATACTATTCAGGAATTAAAACGAGAAGCCGAGAATAGGGACAACTGGAGAGCTCTGTTTGGGCAGAGCAATGGACCTGTCGTAAGACAGAACACTTAATAATAATAACCTACATTTGTATATTATTGGGATATCCTAAGCTTTCTGATCTTCTGTTCTTATAATTTTCATTCATCCTACTGATAATAAGACCCAAAACAGATAAAAATTGAAACCTTAGAAAACAAAATGTCACACAATTTTATAATCTATCTAATGCAATCAATGTACACATCACCTGGTCCAAGTACTTGGGGATAAGCTTCGCCATAAGGTTTCCAGATGCTGGAGACACCTCAGAAGGTTTGATGACAACACAGTTTCCTGCAGCGATGGCACCTACGACTGGCAGGAGTGTCAACTGAAGGGGGTAATTCCAGGCACCCATTATCAGCACAACTCCATATGGGTCATTGTAGATTAATAAACTGTCCATGACATTGACTAAATCTTTGGAAGGCTGCAACCGATAAGCCAATATATTTGCTAAAACAATGACTGAAACTTAAACCATAATCACCAAATTACTTTTAAAAAAAGGTGTTAAATTTACAGCAAAAATTACACTTCTGACTAGAATACTGTTAAAAACTGCTTCACCATAAATTTATTTTTAGTATAAAGTGAAGCTTTGGCAGCGATTGAAGTTGATGAGAGACTCTCAGGTTACAAGGCGAGTCAGGCAGCTGAATGGTGAATAAACCATATCTTCTGCCAATGTTTCGAGAACAATCTCTGCTCTCATCCTCGGGGCTGCTGAGTAGCAAATAGGATCCACTGTAGCATGCTCATCAAGCGCGCTACAAAGGATCAGATTTCTTATTTTTATTAGTTCTTCAAACACTTAAAAGTTCTGTACTAGTGTTATACCTTACACATTTCAAGTCGCATTCCTTAATGTACTTAATATATCCAATGTGTATAAGGGACTGCTTGATGATTGTGTAAGAGCACATCATATTTCTTATACCAGACATTAAAAATCTGATAATATTAATCACTGATGTTCCTCCAACCTTTAAGTTGTAAAGGAAGGCTTCTGTGCATTCAAGTGCAGAAGTTTACCTATAATACAGTCTGTGCCACTCAACCTAATCCTTTCCTTGCAGATAAAGGTTTTTCCAGGCTTGGCGTGATCTGATCTGTCCAATACTAAATAAATAAATAAAAATAAAATATATATATATAGTGTTTAGTTTAGGAAAGATTAATAAATGCCATACAATTGTCATGAAACAGTCAGCTAGTTCTTGCACAACCTGAAGCACTAGGCCTGGAACTAAGAAAAAGAGAGTGATTGTCTATGCTGATCTCTTCTGTCGTAATTCCGTGTAGACTTGTAGGTAGATAAGTTTGAGAGAAACATACTGTTTCCATCTTCAAGCCAGAAGACTGAGACATCAACATCTTCATCACCATGAGAACCCCAAATCTCACACGAAAACAATTGTTTTTTATCACTTCCCAGTCAATTTTGTTACGTCTGATAAACAGGATTCAACTGAAGCCAGAATGTGTCGACAAGTGATCTAATTCTTCGACTGCTAGATGATGACAATGATGGTGATAATGAATATGATTTCAAAAGTTTCTTAGACTATTTAAATAACAATAACAATAATGACAACAATAATAATTTCATGCACTCAAATCCAAGAATCAAAGTAAATGCAACAGATACCGATGTGAATCTACCAAATTGTGACTTAAACAAAATTAACATTGTTTCAAGATCTCATATGTTATGACTGCAAGTAAAAATTCAATTGTAATTAACATAAATTCAGTAAGAGCTGGCTTAAAGATTCAGTGCATCTCAAATAATGCTCAAAATATGTTAACATAATGATCTCCGATTACTCACAAATTTTCATTTCACTTATTCCCACTACCTCTAACACAACAGAGGGAATGTTAAAAAAAAGTACGTGGACCAAATAACAGAAACAATAATTCATCAATAAACCATGTCATGTTTCTTACCTTCTCCGGCTCTGTCCACTCTTTTAGATGAAAGAGAGCATGTCTTACATCATTAATCACAACGTTGATTTCAAGCATAACGGCTTCTTGTTTGCTCTGCAATAAATTACATTTATTATAATGAATGTAGAACAAGAAAGTGCACTGCATTATCTGCAAAGCCATAAAGCCTACCTTCCGCAAATCTTCTGCCACGGCTTCAATCATCTCCACGGTGTTCTCCTCGACCATCGAGAGCAACTGTTTCAGCTGGCTCTCTCGAAAGGCAATGGTCCTTGTGCGCCCACTCTTGAAGGTATTACGAGCCTTCTGAACAATCTGCAAAAATGGGATCACTGTGTCTACTTCCTACAATGACAAATAACACAGATGCTGTTCTTCTGGGTTGTGACACAATGTAAATTTGTACACAGATACTAACACTTTGGAGAAACATTTCATATCCAACCTCAATCAAAATACAGGACAACACTGACATCTTCACAACTGTGAGAACCCCAAATTTCACACACTAATAAAGTTTATGGTAACTAAACTAAGTGTTTGGAATAACCACCTTAAATATAAATTTGTCCAAGAAAATTTCTTGTTCTTCTGTGCCGAGGTCAAGGAAGAGAGGAGCTATACCTCCACTCACCCCAAACGCCTACATGGGGTATAGTGGGACAAATTTTACTTTACTTACTCTGCTGTATCAGAAGCAGAAAATCAAACATAAATGTCAATACACGAAAGAAACAATAAGACTCAAATAAATACATCCATACCATCACAAGACTGATTACAAATGTGATTGCCAAGTTTTCAAAAGTTTTAGTGGTCAAGACTGCCTTGCTTGACATCAGTACAAAACTGTAATTTTTGAAACTCTTTCTACCAATTATGATAAAACAACAACATTGAAATAAATTAAGAACATCCTTTGTTGGAAGGAGCCAGTTTCAGCTACCAGCAATGTCATAAAACCTAGTCTTTATATGACAGGTAAATGTTCCAAAGCAAACATTTTATAAGACTGGCACTAGAATCTTTAATGTACAATTTTCAAGGACAAACAGTAAATCCAGAATATGGATCAATATCAGTACAAATGCAGTGACACATTAATTGTAATGGCTGGGTGTTCAGCAATACAATTTTATATTCTACTGAATTCTGTAAAGTTATTTCAATGGAAAAATGTGAACTAGTGAATACAAAATATTTGCCATTCTGAAGAAACACATCTTATATAAGAATTATGTACTGTTATATGTAAATGAAACAAATTCCATATACAGATGCTTTATTTTCATTGCTTTTCAAGTCTGCTTTATAATATATGTCATCCTGTGGTTGAATTCCTAACAGAAAAACAATTCCTGATTGTGTAAATAAGGAAGAACAACTGGCATGTTAACAATCAAGAAATGAAAACTTCAACATTGGGTACTAACAGAAGAAAAGCTGGAAGATATTAGAACTTGACTTAAATATTTTATTTGCACAAAAATTGGAAAATCAAAAGTGACTGCAAGAACTACTACAAAATTACTGAAACTACAGTCCTGTAAAACCACAGATGTGTGCACTTTGTATCCAAACTTTCCAGTAACCAGACTTAATTTCTGTAATTGGTATCTGCAGTCAGTGCAGATATTTAAAAACTGAAGTCTATAAAATCAATCCACATATAAAAGAACTTAGAAATCATCTATTTTGAAGTGTTTTGTAAATCCAGAAAACTACAAGATGTTAACCAGAATATGTTTAGACAGCATCAGATATGTATCTGGGCCAATGTGGAACATCTTCAGCATCTCCAGTAATGTAATTAATTAACATTCATGTTGCTGCAGTCTCACTGTTACCAAAGCTCACCACCTTGGAAAAGTAGCAATCAGCAGCATTCTATGTACCAGAAAAGCCATAGCTGCCAAAAAATCTCCTTGAATTATGAACTAATTACAATACCTCACTGCATAATTAATGTAGTTCTCTTTTTTAAAAATATCAAGATCATAACATGGGTATGTGATTTATGAAACCAGTCAATCACAGAAGGCATTACTACTTGAATTAACTTTCCTAAAAAAATTTAAGCAAAACTACACATAGTTAATTGGTAACATAAACTAAATAGTGAAAAAAGTAGTACATCTTTCAATTGTTTCCTCCTAAACAATCAAACTGATCTACTTACATCTGAATAGGTGGCCATTTCTATTTCTTGTTATGCACACAGCTATCCGAAACACAGGAAAACCTGGTAAAGCAAACAGCCAATGAAGAGTGAGAACAATAAAAACAAACCATACATCAGATACTTTATGAGAAAGTGTACTGATTGATGTTGGATATCATAAATGCAATAAACCCTGGACAGAAATGTACTCCTGATTGTGTACCTTAAAGATAAAGGGGCATGTGCTTTGTTAGTGACACTAAATTGGCATATAAATAGTCAATATACAGACTGGTTAATGAAGGAAAATACCTGCTCACACAAGAACTGTAAAACAGTAAGAGGATAGACTCAAAATATACAACTAAAATCTACTAGTCATTCAATTCTCTTGGTATGACACTAAAAGATGCTCTTCTATAAATTATTATAATTCCAGGCATTAGCATTTGTTTTCTTTCTGTATACTCATAAATGTTGAGCTGTTACTCAACTTCTTGATGCCCCTTTGACATGATGTCCTAAAAAAATTGTCTGAATAATGTAAAAATGATTAATGTTGTTGATTTCTTTAACATTAATAATTATGTAACCATGAGGGAAGTTCTCTGTGGAAGTAGTATTAAGCCACGAATTCAAAGTTAACTCGTTGTGAAATAAGCCTATCCTATAAGAAGGATGTCTACTGGGTTGTAGCACTATATAGTCACGTTTTAGTTTATCAGTGTTTCAGAGGTCCTTGCTGCCTCCATTATCAGGGTGATAAAATGTTTGTAAACTTCTACCATACTACATGGCTCTTCAACACGAGGACAGCCATCTTCAGACTCAGTGCTGTAAAAACCTCAAGTCTATACTAAGCCATGCTCATAAGTTTTCATAAAAAAGCTTACATAAACAGACATTAATCGATCTTTCTCATTTTGTGAACAAAATTTATGGCTTTCATTTGATGTATACGTGTTTATGACACCTCACGTATTAAGTAACCTATTTCTACCCAACAGTATGACACCAACACAATTACCAATAAATTATGCCCAAATATGAAACAAGAAACTTGGCCAGTTTATTCAAGTCCAACATGTCCTGCTACTTCTAATTAGGTTAGGATAATGTAGATCAGACCATTTTTGAAATATTCACCCCCGTGAGAATTTCAAATAGCTTAGATTATTTTTTCTGAAATCAGTATAGGTTCATTTCAGAAGTATTAAACTTCAAATCCATTACATAATATTACTTTAAAAAAAGTCCCTTATGCTTCCATTGTGTATTAATTCTAAGGAAACATCATATCTGCAGTGTTCAGACCAATTATAATGCATGTTTCATTGGTAATATTTTTGTGAACACAGAAACTTATTTTATAGTAAGTGATTGGCTGTCATGCATATGGGTATTGTCGAAGATTCACAAAAAAGCAACTAGCAACAAACAATAAATGTTCAGCAATAGGCTATATGTGATACCATACCACCTGTACAATCATAACAAACCTATCAAATTGCTAGTTTGTGAAAATGTCAGTGAATGTAGTGATCATTGAATACATCACATTGCACAAACTTCATATTTCATTGTTCTTTAGAAGTCACAATTACTCTCTACTACAAATGTTGCATGCAATTATCTTCTGGGAAAATTCATAGACAGCAAAAAAAGTAACATCCGCATTCGTGCTACATATCTCGCCCATCTCATCCTCCTTGCCTTTAACAAAGACTGCAACACAACAAACTCCTTGCAAAAAGTCCACTGCTGAACACATTCACAACAGTAATAATGATGCAAATGCTAACTGTAATCAGCAATACTGAAAAATTTAAAACTCCTTCCGCAGGTATTACACAAGAAAATACAGCAGATTATGTGCAAATTGCTTGATTAGCAACCGCAAATGCAAGTCACTGAATGTTTCAACTTGACCTTCCAAAAGCTGGTCCTTCAAGGTTTCCTTTCTATTCTGATAAATACGATGTCTTACGCAATGCTTACGCAATCTTCATACATTTCAAAATATACCGATTTTAGTAGGTCTGTATCGTAGGTTAAGATACATCCGGTCAGTTGTCTACCAAGAAACACTCAACAGTCTGAGCTCCTAACAGGAACAAGAAATAATTAAATAAATACATTAAATACTCGCAGTTCCAAAACCTCGCCGCTGGTATTTGAGCTTGAGTGCCTCCTTATCACGTACGGAGACATTTTCAAGTATCGGCCACATGTAAACTTATGGTTCATCCACATTACGCGATAACCGATACAATGGCTAGCTTTAAATGGCACTGTACTTTGTATTTCCTGATATAAATGTTAACACCAATAGTATAACTACACATTGTCAGTCTTACATTTATTTGCATGGATCACTGATTTCATTGCTAACCTAAATCAGGATCTCTTTACTCTCCTTGAAAAAGTTGACCACCGCGCTCGTACCTACTTTATAGTGCACACCAAAGAACCCAACCTCGTTGACAGTTACAAAGACACTCGAAGGAACGTAGTTAATCTCGTGAAAGGGAGGGGAAGAAGACGAAGTGACAGCATACACAGTGACAATAGAATAGAATAGAATTTATTTACATTCCATGGCTCCTTCATGGGCCTAAGCCATGGTATAGAACAGGTCATAGTACAAATACAATGGAATAGAATAAATTTATTTACATTCCATAGATCCTTCATAGGCCTAAACCAAGGATGTTGAACAGGTCATAGCACAAATACAGTACTTGTTTCTAGTACAAATATAAATACATAGTTGTAACAGCTATCTACAGGTTTTTGGAATAGTATTACAGCAAAATAATTATGATGAGAACCATCACCATTGCTACATGTAATTATAAATTCTTCTACTGAGTAGTTGTGAGATGGGAGATATTCTTTTAATGCTGGATTAAACATTTTTATATCATGGTTTAAACTTTTGGTAGTAGGTGAAAATTATTGAATAATTTAATTCCAGTATAGTAAACTCCTTTTTGATATTTACTGAGGTTAGAATTTGACACATGAAGGTTGTATCTGTATCTTGTTCTTATATTGTGGATATCTGAATTTGTTTGAAATTTTTCTGTTATCCACTACAAATGATAGTAGTGAGAGCAAGAATTCACTGGGTAGTGGAAGAATATTAAACTTCTTAAATAATTCCCTACAAGAGGATCCCCTTTTAGTGACTGCCATTATTCTGATGATTCCCTTTTGAATGTAAAGTAGTTTTTTGCTGTCTGTTGTATTTCCCCAGAAAATGATTCCATATGACATGATGAAATGGAAGGAAGCAAAACAAACTAATTTTAAAGTTTCTTTTTTCATGAGTGCTGCAACTGTCCTCATAGCAAAACATGTCTTTATTATATTCTAAAAACTGATGGATCAAAATCCCACAGACTGTTTTGAAACTGGAATGGGATCATGTTAATCAGTTGAAGTATACATGCTGAGACTCCTTGCCATCTTGCCCCCCCTTTACCATTCCAACTACCAATTATCGCTTACCAAGCTCGAAGTTATTTCAGGTCCACTGTATTTGCCTGAAACACAGCTTATCCATGGCTCCATTTAAGTTGAAAAATTTTCCTTCTGCTGGTGTCACTAAAGATCGTTTCTTGTGATAAAGGGTTACAGGTTACAGTGAATGTGCTTCCAAAATAGGAGGAAGGAGAAGTGAAGTAGAAGACAATAGGTAGAGTACAGGAAGCATGATAAGAATAACCCCACGATGCATCCTTATACAGTACAAGGTTTATACATTTTTTAATATTTCATATTGTTTATATTTCACAGTTAACATAAAATTATGACTGTCTTCTGGGATGTTGCAGTGCATAATCCTGTAGATATTGACTGAAATGTCACAAAACAAGTACTTTCCACTCACTATACTGGTATATTTCATAATTTGTCCTAATAAAATTAATGCAGTAGCTAACTGCTGGAAAACCTGGCCACCATGTGAATACCTACTGTGTTTATTTTACAAAACTTGCATAAAAATTTATATCCTAAGATGTGTTGATCTCTAATATTTTTTGAATTAATAGTAGCATAGCATGGCCTACTCACCCCCTCCACTCCACATGTGAGCATTCTTGTGAAACCTTACCAACAAAGTGCTTTCATGATTCTAAGATTTTTCTAAAATTTCACAAACACACACTACTAATTATGCTTTTCCTCAGTAAGACCATTTCATAACAATGCAAAAATGTATGAAGCAAGTAGTATGTCTTCAAAACTGTATTTATTTTATTTATCCAATTAGGATATCCCTTTTCACAGCAGAAAATTTCAGGAGAAAACAATTCTATTACTTAATCATGAAATTCTTGGGTACAATTTCCTCCCCCCCCCCCCTCATAATGCCCTTCTTACGTCCACATAATACTTTCCCTGAAACTGTTATTCTTTCTAGCCTTTGAACACTAACCCCAAAAATACTAATTCCCTGCACCATAGAGGAAGTGAATGGTGCTACCAGTTCCACTTTGGTTGAGCAGCAGCAAGACTGGCACAGATCACAGTGTATATGGCATCACAAAAAATGCACCTCAAAAAACAGAACAGGACAGATTGTGCGTGAATACAGCAGCCATGGTGAAATGTAGTGCTGAATGCTTTTAAAATACTTTCATATTAATATGATTCTCCACGGATATAATTCCAAGATACGCCAAATTTGCCAAAAGTCAATTTTTTCACTGAAATTATTGAATCATTCTATTTACAAATTTTTCTGAAACTGTGAATATAAAACTACTACTATTATTTAACTAAATTAAAAAGTGTATGCCTCCCATGGACACTGCAACCTGTCTACAATAATTCAGCAATTAATCCAGTATTATTGCCAATGTCCATCCTCCTTTAATCACTTCTACCTTCCCCAAATTTTGATTGAAGCCTTCCTTTGAATGTGATGACATCAAAAAAGGTTCAGATAACAAGTAAAAATATTTATTTTCTTAAATTACAAACCATCAGTACAATAATCTCAAAAATAACAACAATAACATGTGTTGGGCTGCATGATAGCCAATGTCCTTCTGAATCATACTGGCTAAAAAAAGCTACCATATTCCTTGAAGGAGAGTGTTTGAAATATGAGAGATGACTGTTCTAGAGGGGGGAAAGGAAACAGACGACACATTTCAGTGAGTGATATATACGTAAAGCAAGCTGCACATATATCAGACCTTGAAATTTCACAAAATATGGTACCCATAAAAAATATTTAATTTTTAGAGACCAAAAAACATAAAAATTGTATTTGATATGTGCAAATAGTCATTATGTATTAATGATTATATGTTACAGGTTTTATTCAATGAGTTCATTGAATTTCATTTGCACAAACAAAAATTTGTTTGACTCTGATACTGCACAACAACAAGTATCCTCCAACAGTGGGTAAAGACACAATGTTAATTGTTCTACACTGAAGGGTTAATGTTTGTTGGGCAGTAAGTACAAGCTATTGGTGTCTACAAACAAAATTGCCTACAACCAGTACAACAAACATGCAGCTCACACTTTAACAAAGAAATGAAACCTATATCTGTGACCACCTGCCGTCTGCAAGTAGAAAAAAAAGTCGACGGAATGTCCCCAGAATTAACGTTTCAAACATTCAAGAACCCTGTACATCATTTTTAAGATGCAAACTACTGAACTATAATTTAAACCTCTTATGAATGTAAACAAAATTCTGAAATGTGCATGTAACCACAGGCTACTATTTCAGTCTATTGGAAGCTCCTGATTGCTATATGTCCTTTCTTTGTGGTCCACCATCCAGTACTCTACTAATTCATATTTGTTTTACCTTCCATAAACACAGACTAACTTGAACTTAGTATGTCAATTTAATAACAAACCACAAAAGGTTAGAACTATCAGGAACATTCTTCAGTTGCTTTGGTTTTGAAATTATTATCACAGTAAGTCTGGCAAGATATGATATAAAGTAGCCAAGGTTGGAAAATCCAATCACCTCATATTACAAAATATCTACATTTACAATGTATAATATGGTACATTATAAAAGGTACAAAAACTAGATCTCTGTATAGAGATTTGTGACAAGTAACAATTCTGGAATGGATTCAGACCAAATGGAAAGAACAGTTTCCAATATTTGGTGGTTAGTGTTATGGTAATTGTATTGTATCATTCTGTGTTTGAATTAATATTACTACTAGAACAACAGTTTATTTTTATACAATGCTGAACCAAAGTTAACGTAGCATACATGACACATTGCACAACATTTACAAAATTATGTCACTTAAAACATGACCAATAATACTGAAAAATATTCCTTAAATGTATACAACTTTTGTAATATGCAAATTGTAATGAAACAGTTTTTCTTTGTGTGGGTCTTCCATTTTTTTATGGTGAAAGGGATCAGTACCTCAGACATAAATCTGACAGGGTTTGCACCTGCCTGATTTCCAAAATGAAAGTCTGGAAACATTTGCCATTTGACCTCAGTCCATTCCATTTTGTTTCTTTCTTGTAAGATCACAACCATTGTGGAATGTACAAAACACCCATTCTGTGTCTTGACATAATTATAGTATAAACATACACCTCCAAAACCATTAGTGATGAGCAATGTTTTCATATCAGCTTACAAGTAACTATTTTAAACATGACGTGCTATTAATCGATAATCTTAGGACATATCTTCCGTAATGAAATACTCCAAATACTACACACCTTTTTCCTAATCCCTTGTATAGAAATACTAGATATGTCATATTTGAGGATTCAGTTTGGGAAACACAAAATGCTCCATGTGTAAACATATAAGATGCAGCATTGATGCTGTCAGATGTGTTGGCCAATGAGTGAAATAAGAAAAAAGCTTGACTTTCAAACTTTTTCTTCTCTTGCAGCACAGAGCAAGGAGCAGGGGGGGGCACCTGAAATCAGTGCAGTTTCTTATGGCTTAGTTTATGCATTTGGATAACGAAGCAGGTATTCACCAGTCAAAAACCACATGGAATGCTAGCAGCAGCAAGACTGGCACAGATCACAGTGTATATGGCATCACAAAAAATGCACCTCAAAAAACAGAACAGGACAGATTGTGCGTGAATACAGCAGCCATGGTGAAATGTAGTGCTGAATGCTTTTAAAATACTTTCATATTAATATGATTCTCCACGGATATAATTCCAAGATACGCCAAATTTGCCAAAAGTCAATTTTTTCACTGAAATTATTGAATCATTCTATTTACAAATTTTTCTGAAACTGTGAATATAAAACTACTACTATTATTTAACTAAATTAAAAAGTGTATGCCTCCCATGGACACTGCAACCTGTCTACAATAATTCAGCAATTAATCCAGTATTATTGCCAATGTCCATCCTCCTTTAATCACTTCTACCTTCCCCAAATTTTGATTGAAGCCTTCCTTTGAATGTGATGACATCAAAAAAGGTTCAGATAACAAGTAAAAATATTTATTTTCTTAAATTACAAACCATCAGTACAATAATCTCAAAAATAACAACAATAACATGTGTTGGGCTGCATGATAGCCAATGTCCTTCTGAATCATACTGGCTAAAAAAAGCTACCATATTCCTTGAAGGAGAGTGTTTGAAATATGAGAGATGACTGTTCTAGAGGGGGGAAAGGAAACAGACGACACATTTCAGTGAGTGATATATACGTAAAGCAAGCTGCACATATATCAGACCTTGAAATTTCACAAAATATGGTACCCATAAAAAATATTTAATTTTTAGAGACCAAAAAACATAAAAATTGTATTTGATATGTGCAAATAGTCATTATGTATTAATGATTATATGTTACAGGTTTTATTCAATGAGTTCATTGAATTTCATTTGCACAAACAAAAATTTGTTTGACTCTGATACTGCACAACAACAAGTATCCTCCAACAGTGGGTAAAGACACAATGTTAATTGTTCTACACTGAAGGGTTAATGTTTGTTGGGCAGTAAGTACAAGCTATTGGTGTCTACAAACAAAATTGCCTACAACCAGTACAACAAACATGCAGCTCACACTTTAACAAAGAAATGAAACCTATATCTGTGACCACCTGCCGTCTGCAAGTAGAAAAAAAAGTCGACGGAATGTCCCCAGAATTAACGTTTCAAACATTCAAGAACCCTGTACATCATTTTTAAGATGCAAACTACTGAACTATAATTTAAACCTCTTATGAATGTAAACAAAATTCTGAAATGTGCATGTAACCACAGGCTACTATTTCAGTCTATTGGAAGCTCCTGATTGCTATATGTCCTTTCTTTGTGGTCCACCATCCAGTACTCTACTAATTCATATTTGTTTTACCTTCCATAAACACAGACTAACTTGAACTTAGTATGTCAATTTAATAACAAACCACAAAAGGTTAGAACTATCAGGAACATTCTTCAGTTGCTTTGGTTTTGAAATTATTATCACAGTAAGTCTGGCAAGATATGATATAAAGTAGCCAAGGTTGGAAAATCCAATCACCTCATATTACAAAATATCTACATTTACAATGTATAATATGGTACATTATAAAAGGTACAAAAACTAGATCTCTGTATAGAGATTTGTGACAAGTAACAATTCTGGAATGGATTCAGACCAAATGGAAAGAACAGTTTCCAATATTTGGTGGTTAGTGTTATGGTAATTGTATTGTATCATTCTGTGTTTGAATTAATATTACTACTAGAACAACAGTTTATTTTTATACAATGCTGAACCAAAGTTAACGTAGCATACATGACACATTGCACAACATTTACAAAATTATGTCACTTAAAACATGACCAATAATACTGAAAAATATTCCTTAAATGTATACAACTTTTGTAATATGCAAATTGTAATGAAACAGTTTTTCTTTGTGTGGGTCTTCCATTTTTTTATGGTGAAAGGGATCAGTACCTCAGACATAAATCTGACAGGGTTTGCACCTGCCTGATTTCCAAAATGAAAGTCTGGAAACATTTGCCATTTGACCTCAGTCCATTCCATTTTGTTTCTTTCTTGTAAGATCACAACCATTGTGGAATGTACAAAACACCCATTCTGTGTCTTGACATAATTATAGTATAAACATACACCTCCAAAACCATTAGTGATGAGCAATGTTTTCATATCAGCTTACAAGTAACTATTTTAAACATGACGTGCTATTAATCGATAATCTTAGGACATATCTTCCGTAATGAAATACTCCAAATACTACACACCTTTTTCCTAATCCCTTGTATAGAAATACTAGATATGTCATATTTGAGGATTCAGTTTGGGAAACACAAAATGCTCCATGTGTAAACATATAAGATGCAGCATTGATGCTGTCAGATGTGTTGGCCAATGAGTGAAATAAGAAAAAAGCTTGACTTTCAAACTTTTTCTTCTCTTGCAGCACAGAGCAAGGAGCAGGGGGGGGCACCTGAAATCAGTGCAGTTTCTTATGGCTTAGTTTATGCATTTGGATAATGAAGCAGGTATTCACCAGTCAAAAACCACATGGAATGCTTTGATGTGTGTGCCCTATTTATATTGTTTATACACTGGAGAAATATTTTTAACGTTACTGCAGTTATATCAACCACAGTGCGTGCTTATATATATTTCTTAGATTGCATCCATCAAAGTCCAATGTGTATGATGGCGAAAGGAACTGAAATGAATTCCAGTGAGGCCAATTCTCTCTGCAGAACAAGACATCTGTGAAGATCCATCAAAGTCCAATGTGTATGATGGAGAAAGGAACAGAAATGAATTCATTGTAATGTCCAGTGAGGCCAATTTTGTCTGCAGAACAAGACATCTGTGAAACATCTATTCATAACCATGAAAATCTTAATTTTCACATGAATATCAATAGTATATAAACTTAGTCATGCAGATCCAGCTTTGAGAATTACTTGACTTTACAGAAATACATTCACTTCAATTTCTCTTTCCCACAATGTTCAGACTGGCTCTAGGGCCCACTAAGCCTCATAACCATAAAGTACCAAGGTTCGTCCTTGGAAGTAAAGTGGCTGGTACATGAAGCTGACCACTCACCTTCTAGTCCTGAGGTTAAGATAGCACAGTGCTATGCCTCCACTCCCCATACATTTGCATACCATGGTGCTTAGTTAAGCACCGAAGTATATACAGTAAAATAACTTTTCATGGAACTGCATGAACAAATTATGACTCATTTTAGAATTCCTATATAGTTCTTAGGAAATGTATGCCAAGATCATTGATTAACAAGTGCGTCATGTTTGGAATGAGATGCTCACAAATCGTGAGACTCTGTTGGTATTATATATCATACCAGTTGAGGAAGCGGTCAAGTGCTTGGCTCCACAGTGTAAAAATGCTGTCATACTCCTCATACACATGCCCTCTTGGCTCAAACACTCGATCTACCTTCCGCAGCACTCGGAGCTCATCTTTCGACTGCCATACACCTGTTGCAATTATGTTTGTGTTATGCAGGTTTCTTCAGACTCCTTGACAATATTTATCAAAAACAAAACAGCAAGCTAATTTGTTCCTCCTATAGATTAAAATGGAAATCTCAACAAATGTTAGTAATGAATAATAGCCAATTATATGAGCAGAAAAAACATGAAATCATATGCTGTGTAAAACATCTAGTAGTGTAGGGGTAAGGTATTGACTGGATTCATGTGCCAAAAATCTTGTGGTATGAGACATCAAATCTGGACTTGTCCATGTGCCTACTTCATCTCTTTGTATCTGAATAATCATAATTCAGGAGAAATACCAGACCCCAACCATGGCTAGAGGCCCACATTAAGGTGTTGGTTCCCTGTGCTGGTTATCATTTTCATCTCCATCAATAATGGATTCATGTCTTGTATATATTCCCACTTCAAGTGTAAATGTCTTTCTTCCAAGCACACACAGACAAGACAGCTCAAATAAAACATAAACCATATGTCGAGACATCAACAACATCAAGATGATAATTCAATTCACTTATTCAGATACTTGACAACAAACAAATAAAAAAAGGCCAATTACAGCCAAGCATAATCTACAAATGACACGAAAGATCAGGAAATAACAAAAAATAAATAAAAACAAGGTCCAAATGTGCAATATGAAACACAGAATATGAACAAAGAATGTCTGTTCTTGTAAATAGCACTGGCAGCATCTAGCTGAGGGAATGACCTTGAAATTGCGAGTAATCATAAATGTAGAGTATTTTATAATAATTCTAGTAGGTATAAATACAAGACTACTGACAGAATCAACAGGGTTGTAGTGCCGAGAAACAACAACAACCACGCTGTTAATTTCCACTTTATTAAAGAAATGCCTCAATAAGATTTGCATACTTTTCAAACTTATAGCATCACAAACACTTCAAGAACCAACACTGACTGGACATATGGTTCTTCTAAGGAAAGAACTCTGTTAATCCCAAACCCTAAAATAATAATATTGTTACAGAAGGATGAAAAAATATGGGGAGGAAGTGCCTACATACAGAGAAATGAGAAAAATAAAGACAGTTGGAATTAGGACTCAATCTCAAGACCCACTTACCTCCATGAAGCCCAGCAAGGAATGCAGCACCCAACATAGTCATTTCGGAAGATTCCGGCCTCTCCACCTTCAAACCTGTGAGGTCTGCTAGCAACTGGACCACAAAGTCATTCTGAGACACGCCACCATCCACTCTACTCCATCACAAAAATATGAAAAGCAGAACCATAAGTTGGATTAGAGGAAACAACTTTGCTGTATAAAGTATACTTCTCTCTACAAGAGAGTAATCATAAATTATTCCAAGGATATGGACTCCCACCAAAACAAATAAGTATAACTTGAACATGAGGAAACTAGTTATCACATATACCAGAGATCTTTTTTATTGTGGGGAGAAGAGTGCACAGTTGGAATGTATAAATTTGTTGTGCAAGTGTACGTTTATGACAGCAAACTTGGGCTATAAAAATTTGCCACAAGTAAAAATAAACTGTATAGCAAGCACTGAACACACATTCTTATTCAACGTAATATGCACATCTGAATGCTATATTCCTATACAGAAGAAAAAGCATGCTGCTGACTGGCTGGCCTGCTAGTTTAAAGATTCATTCTAATATCATCTTCCCCTAGGTCTTCCAATTAGTGTTTTTGATTCCTGGCAGGTTTTTGACCAGAACTTTGTACATATTTTTCATTTTTCCTTTGCTGTTTTGCTATCTGCCCCACCCATCTCATCCTCCTTGCTTTTATCTCCCTAGTAATATTTGGTGAACAGTACAAATTATGAAGCTGCTCATGCAGTTTTTTCCAGCGTCCTGTCACGTCCTCTTTCTTAGGCCCAAATATTATCCTCAGCACTCTGTGAAACAAATTAACTAGTTAATTACACCAAAATATAGTGTTATGAAACAAAGTTCATCAGCATTACAAATGCAAATCACTGGCAAATTAATTTTCAATGTGGACAGGTCTAGACATAATTTTTCAAGTCACCTATGCAGGAAATGTGAGGCCCTTCATAAAAATGTAATAAAACACTATGCTCAAAGTAAAATACAGAATAAAATATGTTGCAGAGGTATGCAACCTCATAACATACACTATAATATGCAACAGAAAACCAGCCTCAAAGAATCAGCAAAGGCAGACGAAGGCATGAATAAGAGAACGTGCCTCATGAGTTCGATCAGTTTATTGGCAGGAACAGGGTTAATTGAAATGTTACATATTTTAGTCCTTAGAATTTTGCTCCTACATTTATGGCAGTGTTCACAAAAGCATGGGGGTTTAAGTGCAATACATTAAAAAGAGCAAAATTAATGAAGATAACACAAATCCAAGGTAAAGCAGTACTTATTCACATGGCAAGCAAGGCTAATTTTCTTAATGTAATTTGCATAAACAGTTCATAGAGTCTAACCTGATGCTGGTATATTTATTTTTAACTTCTCTCTGCAGAGCTTCGTATAGCTGCAGCATTCGAAACACAATACTCTCCAAGATGGCGCGCACCATGTGCTGGCGGTTTGTTGTGGGTTTAATGCCAATGAATCCAGCTGCAGCTTGGAAGTTGTTGACTGGGGCCTGTGAAAAACGTTTCTTCTCAGTAACCACTCACCTCTATCTAGTGCTGAGGTTAATCCTTCAACTCCCATATATTTCTTATGGTATCATGCTTAATTAAGCACAGGGATAACTTAACCTTAGCTTTTGTTATTATTATTATTATTATTATCCCATCTATTCACCACTTTATGGGGTATGTACTTCCATGTACCCGAGACAGACCTTGTCCCTAAGGTACATAGGGCAGCAGCTATTTTCGGGATACATATTGTTTTTAGCAAGAGCCACATGTATTATATAATTTTATTTTATGACAGCGTCTTTTGGATGATGTATGATGTTCCCAAAATGGCGGTCTTCTGCAGTTCCCTGATGTCGTGTTTGCCCGGGATGTTGGCCAAATATTTTCTTAGTGACCTGGAGACAGTTCCTGTCGCTCCTATAACTATTGGAATTATTTTTGCTTGAACGTTCCACATTCTCTGTATTTCTATTATTATTATTATTAGACATGTTAAATATTAATGTATTAATAGGCTTGACATGAGGTTTAGATGGGTGAAACAAGACAAGAATACAGCATTTTATGTGGAAACTTCTTGGAAAGCGACCATTCAAACGACCAAGGAGAAGATGGGACGTTAAAATTAAGTTCTGAGGAACAGGCCATGAGGATCATATCCAATGGCAGGCCTTGGTAACATCTTCATTCATCCTTTGGTTTCTGCCACAGAGAGAATAAAGTTACAAAAATGTATTTTACAGTCTGCTTAATTTCTGTTGCTTATCTTATTGGTGGTTTAATTTACCTGAATTCCACTAAATGCAGGTATGAAGCAAAGTCCATTTGAGTCCTGAACTGAATTTGCCATGTCAGAGGAGTCAGATGGGTCAGACAACAAACCTGCGGAAAAAAAGTTTTGTGATACCACAGCGGCAGCAAGTAGCAGTTTCACCATTCTGCTCACATACCAATAACAAGTAAGGATTTGTTATACACGAGTGCTGAAGCTTCCACAGATACAACAGTCCGCTGGTATATCTGATCCTGAGTCAATTCAGTCTAGCTCATATCTTATTTAACT